TTTCTGAAAATCTATAGAAATAGATTGTAAATTATGACATATTTGAGATAATTGATAAAAAAAATCTGAAGGAAGATCTGAATCACAATATAATTCTGAAAGATTCCTTGCTCCAGGAAAATTAGGGAAAGAAATATTAACCTTATGTTTATAAAAATCTCTATTGTGATAAGTCAAATGTTTCAAAGAAGAAATTTGATTTGCAAGCATTTTGATAATTTCACTTGCAACTAAACTATTTCTATATTTTGATTTTGGATTGAATGATTTTCTACTTCCTAGGGCACCAATAATTATTCTATTAAACCAATAAATTGAAAGAGATTTGCAAAATGATGCATACTTGAACAACAATGGTTTTGAAGTGGGTATTGAAATGAAAATGTTATTATCATGTAAGAGCTTTTTTGACTCATTAGGAAGACAAGCAATTAATGTACTAAGAATTGACGATTTTATTTTGATTGAACGCTTATTACCATTATTGAAATCTAAAATATTCCTCCACAAAATTCTAACAGAAACTTCGCACCAAAGACGATTAACTAACAAACATGAGTGTAGAGTGAATTTATCCATCTCTAAATATTCAAAAATCTCATTTAAACAATCAACTGGAAGTTTATATGCCATTTTATTATTTTATTATTTCAAAAAAAAAAAAAATTATTTTCTAGCGGGGCTTGGGATAAACATCGGACTACGGAGTTTTCGGATGAACACTGCATTTAATTGTTTCATTATTGTGTAACAAATTTTTTTGTTGATCAGTATAAATTTAGATTTTTTTTTCGTAAAAAATTTGGTATGAAGGATCTACACTCCGTTTTACTTGTATTAAGTTAATTTCGTGACATGCTACAATATCTATATAACTAAACTTCGTTTGTTTTGCGTTGGAAAAAGGTTGCAGATGACACGGTCGAGTGGAGAATTTTTGGCCGTCTTCGAATACATTTCCATCAAGGCGTAAATTAAATGGGTTTCATTTTTGATGTACAGTAGGCGATCAAAAGTATACGGACACCTCTCAAATTAAAAAAATTCTCATACATTTAATATAAAATAAAACTAAAATATAAAGTAAACATATTTATTTCATCTTCATTTATTGAATTACATATAAATATAAACGCTAATAATTTAATTTATGGCAGGAATTACTTCAATTTTCCATGCATCATATTGATTAGTTTTCTTATAATATTCTTGAAGAAATATTTTTTTTTGTGCATTCTCTATTATTTTTTTTAAGTTAAAATGATAGTGAAGTATGCCAGAAAGTAGGTAAATAGTTGTTTTTATATCTGCCCAGAGATTTTCAGTAAGTTTAAAACCAGATTCCTAATCTTAATGTTTTTGATGATTTTAGTGCAAATGATTCCATGTTTGATAAAAAATTAACTAATAAAGGAAAGTCTGAAAAATTAAGTGCATTTGTTTATCATGATCCTAAATTCAAAATCATGTGTTATTCGTATCATATGACCATATGGTAATCTACATAATTTCGTAAAACAAGGTGTCCGTATACTTTTGATCGCCTACTGTATTAATTTTTTTGTTTTTTTTGTTTTGTTTCCACAAATTTTTAAAATTCATTATTTAGTTAGATCTTTTATTACTAGATAGATTGATTAGTTATAGTGTCATTGTGATTTGTGATCAATGATTCTAGGTATTTTAGCGTTACTAATAAAAAAAAAATACAATGTGTAACCGTAACGTCAGAAATTTTTTTTTTTTGATTATTAGACTACCGATTTATTTTTTTTTTCAAATATTTAAATTTTTTCCTTTCTTTCAAACCGATTTGAATTCTTTCAGTTCCCTTTTTTTTTAATTTTCTTTTTTTTCTTGAATCGATCTTTTACTTTCGATTCTTTCTTTTTTTTAAATTTTCTCTTTTCTCTTTCGAACCACCTTTTTCCTTTTCTTTTCCTTTTTTTTTCCTCTTTCTTTTTCGGGTTGTTTTTTTTTTCCAATCCGAGAATTTTTTTGGTTTTTTTTCATTCTTTCCCCGTTTAGGTTTAGTTTTTTTTCCAAAACTGAAAATTTTTTTTTTTTTTTATTAAATTATCCTATTGTTTTGGTCTTTTAAGACCGATTTTTTTATATTATTATTTTTTTTCGGTCTTGACCATATTAATTTTTTTTTTAAATTTTTTTTCAGTCTTTTTGGACCGGATTATTGTCCTTTTTTTTCAGAATTTTTTTCGGTACTTATTTTTTTTTTACGGATTCCTTTTTTTT